TTATTAGTCAGACAGGAGAGATATTACAATGTTGCATACTCGTGTATACATTCACTGGGCTTAAAATGTAGCAAAATAATATTTTGTGAATAAAATATTTTAAATTCAATTTTATGCATTTTAAAATTCTCCATTCATGAAAAAAATATGGAAACCCAAATTCCATTCTTCTTAAAAACATTTCATTTCTTCCATTATTTGGAAATGGACAGCTTCCTGAAGAGTCCAGAGAAGTGTTCTTTTTGGCAGACAGTGCGTGGGTTTTCATGAACACTACTTCAGGCTCCGTAATAACATGCCATCCTTTTAAACTGTGGAATATAAGAATTCATTTCAACTGATATTAGGCATGACACTAATTCGGTATTAAACTCTAAGCACATTAGCAATTATGGTACAATGCACTATTACTTTCCAAATCTCTGCAGTAAGTTTTTCATCATTAATGGTTTATGTTTTTTTTTTCTTTTCCGTGCAGAACGTATCATGCACAGAAGTTTAGCTTCAACAAGCCAAACCATTAGAATTTTTACTTATATCCATTTAAAATATGGATTCCTGATGACTGAATCCACCACCAAATATAGTCATAAGAATAAATCTGTAAGAGTTAATCAAATAGCAGGTGCTTTACTTATTGTGCTTTATCCATAGAAAGCCCATACGTCTGAAGTCCAGATTTCTATAAAAACAGTAAACCAAAAGGAGAACCTAGAATCTCTAATTTATTAAAGTGCAATTAAAATTCTATCATCTGACTCATGCCCTTTATAGCCCAAAGACAGTTCCTGTGGTATCTTCTTATGCATTGAAATAGGATGATTGTTTCCTTAAAACATATTGACACAAACAAATGTGTAAGTGGGTTTGCAATGTGCCTAAAATAATAGGAATTATGTTTACAGATCTTCCTTGGCCACTTCCTATCTGTAACTTCGAAGGCAAAATTTGATAAAGTAGGGAGTTTCAGCAATCCTGAATTAAACAGGGTGACCAGCTGTCCTGGTTGGTCTAGGACCAAGGGGTACCTAGGACTTTAGCTTTAAAACCGGGATAGTCCTAAGCGATTTTAGTATTAAAACCAGGACGATCCCAGATAGATGGGTGCAAGTTAGTCACCTTCAACGAGAATGAAGTGGTGCTGGAGTGAAGACAATTTTGGGAAGAAGAATTTCTAAAAGTTCTCTTTCCGGCTCTTTCAGAACTTTCCAAATTTTTCCTCTTTCTACCTCCCCAAGTCAGTCGAAAAATGCTAAGGATATTCTTCTCTCTCTGGATCGAGAATCAAGACCTTAGCAACAGTTGGAAGTCCTCCAGAAGATAATGAGGGGCAGGGAGTCAGAGGTTGAACTCTGTATCCCATGGTCTGGATTTGAATCCAGGCTTTGCCATCCATTAGGTGGGTGATACCTGCCTCCAATTTTTTCAAATGTAAGTGGAAGTAATAATAAAGACTCCCTGGTGGGGTTACATTAAACAGCGCCTGTCATGCATTAAGAGTTCAAGGAAGTTATTTTTATTGTGGCCTTGATTAAGATTAGCAATTTAGAGCATGCCAGCATGTCTACCGTTAATGGTCACTTTCCTCTTTCTTAGAGGTACTTGTTAGCTGCAGCTGTTTTCTATAAGGGGTGGCTTCCATCACCTAAAAAGCTCAGCTGTCTTTTGTTTGTTTCTACTCAAGATATGTACATGAAATGGCAGAAGAAAATTTCATACTTAGGACTCTTCCGGGAAATGTGGCATCAGTAGCATGGACACTTGGATGAGTGTCCTTTGAGGCTAATTATGGTTTTCGTGAAGGATGATAAATTCTACAGACTTTATTTTCTTAAGAGCCACTATGAAGCTGCGTTATTGAATGCCTCATTAAATGGTTGTGAGATTGAATCTGGAAGGCATGATACAATGTATTCTCAGTCATGAGGGATGGGTGCAAAATTGAAGCACATCAGTATGCCAAGGTGGGTCTGGCTACTGGTAGAACTTTGCTCCTCTTAGGGCAGGGACAAAGAGAGACCAGCTAAAGAGCCAGTTGTGAGTTGACTATGGAATTCTAGAGTATGAACTCAGTTCCTTCAGCATTGCATTGCTCTGTGTTTTAGCATCTACCATGGAGACCTCACCCCATGATATAGGCAGTGGGAGAGCTCAGTAGATCCCACTCCACTCCATTTCAGATTTGTGTATTCACTTCCTAGTAAGCAGAAAGTAGACTTGTGCCTGATCTCTGATCTTATAGTTTAGCCAACTTAACTTACAATGAGACACATAGTACACTTGTCTGTTGAAATGTAACTACGGGACCTTGATTTTTCACCTAAAATTTATTTCCAGCATTTACCAAGTACGATACAAAAGATGTTTAAAAAAAAGATCGGGATCACTCAAAAGGTTGAGATGGAAAACCAGGCCCCTTAATATCTAAACAACCAGTCAAGAACATCATTGCAAAGCTTACTTAAAATATTTACTCTGACCTCAAGAATGGAAAGGTTGAGAATTCTGGATTTTGCATATGTAATTATAAAGTGAGGGGGGAATTAAATTATTCTTTTCATAGTATAGGCTAATATAACCTGATACATCCTTATACCTTGAATACTTTTTAAAAGTGTAAGTCAATTGTAATAGTCTTATGTTTTGGCCGTTTTACTTTCTTTGCATGTGTTATAACAGACTTCTGACTCTCACGATAGACAGGCTTTCTACAAATGAAGAATCTTCTCTACTTTGTGCTGCCCATAAGTAACTCCATTTAAGCCTCAAATGAACCTTAAAACATAACCCTGCTTAGCAACTGTCTAAAGATATCCCCTGTACATTGCTTCTATTTCTAGACATAAACTCTTGGCCTCAAGGACCCCTATATAGATCGATAGGGAAAAAGGCATTTAGTTCTAAGCATTTTCCCATGGAAGAGTCCCCATAGGTTAAATAAAGTAAGAACTTGGCCTTTTGCCTGGGACAAGGAAATTGTCACATAAGCTCTCTTTTAGGATAGAGTCAGTTATACAAAGCCACAGACCTTCTGCTTGATTTAGTTTTAGTTAAAAAAACAATTCAGAAATATTTCACTGATGTCAGTATTTGTAAGTTACTCATGGTCTGTTCATTACCAATGAAACTGTTTCAAGGATTATCTACTTTATGTATTACATTCTGAAATAAATGCATTTCTGGAAATGTCTGTGTTGGAAAGCTGAAAAATTAAGTGTCTTACATCACCTGTGCTAAGAGCATTAGATCATGACCTGAGTGGAAGCATGTTTAGGATTGTACATCCTTTGTCATGCACACCTCTAATTACAAACAGATGCACTTTTTTTTTTAAAGATTTTATTTATTTGACAGAGAGAGAGAGAGACAGCGAGAGAGGGAACACAAGCAGGGGGAGTGGGAGAGGGAGAAGCAGACTCCCCACCGAGCTGGGAGCCCGATTGCAGGGCTCCATCCCAGGACCCTGGGATCATGACCTGAGCAGAAGGCAGACGCTTAACGACTGAGCCACCCAGGCGCCCCAACAGAACAGTCTGAATCACAAAGTTGGTTAATGTGCCATTGGCTAGCTGGGTTTTTTGTTTTTTTCCCTTTCTTCTCTTAGGTCAGATAGAAAAAGTTGTGTATTCAGAAGTAAAAGCAAAAAATTTTTTTTTTGAGACTGATATGTTCATTCTTGGCTAAGTTTAGATTCCCGGGAATAGTTCTGGATTGCAATTCGATTTTAATGTATTTTCTGTCGACTTTAAGGAATGGCCAAATAGAGCACTGGTTTATAACACTGGGTGCTCAGGAATAGTAATTAGGGGGCTGCTAATAAAGGTGCTATAAAGTTGGATGAGTTGGTGAAGATTTAGCTAAATATTAGGAATTTAGGTGAGTAGTAAGTAAACATTTATGGATTCTGAACATGTGTTCAGATGATGGGAGAATCCCCCTTCCACAGAAGAGATGCAACCTAGTTGTCATCATTTTAGGAAAGACTAAGTGGGCGGGGATGAGGGGAATGGGTAGGGGTGGGGTGATATAGCACAATTTTCTGCAACCCATCGGAGCTCCCCCTTCTCATGATCCCTCCTATTCAGTTTGTGTCTTGCCATTCAAGTGTAAGGAGACCTTTCTAACAGCTTGGTTGTCACAGAGGGAATATTTTTAAAGATACAGTTCAATTTCAGGATGGACTTTTTGGAGCTCGGCACGGATTCCCCCCCTCCTGCACCCCCCCTCCTGTCCCCAACCCCAAGTTAAGCAAATGGAAGACGCGAGGCCCAGCCAGAAACTCTTCCGCAGACACTAGCTCAGGTGGGAGGGAGAGCTGAGCGGCCTTCTCGGGCCCAGACCTGAAAAGAGTTCCTTCGTGTGAGTTTGGCAGGGGCTGAGAGGGGGGCAATTGGCAGGGGTGGGAGAGAGCCGCCCCACTTGGGGAGAGGAGCCAGAAGCCCCGCCCCCTTCGCCCCTTCCCCAAAGGCACCTGCGCGTCAGGGAGCCCCCTCCCCCCCCGCCCGGGGCGCGGGCTCCTCTGCGGCGGGAGGCAAGTTTCTTCTCCAGCCACCTGTGCGAGGCGCTCCCCGTGGGAAGGGTGGCGTGAGCGAGGGGAGAGCGCCGCCACGCAGCTCGGGAGGCTCTGCTGGGGAGGCCGGCGGCCAGAACACCTCCGGACCCCGGAGCTTTTCGGATGCCGAGCCCGCCCGGCCCGAGGACGCGGCCGGGACCGTAGCCCAGCGGCCTCGAGGCCGGGGTGCCGGGGCGGCGGGGAGGGGTGGGGGGAAGGGGGTGCCCCGGCTGGCGCCTCCCCGGTCTGCGCGGGGTCCTCCCCGGCGTCTCCCCCACCTCCCCCACCCCGAAGTGGCGCGCCCGCCCGCTCCGCCCCGCCGCGCGGCTTATCAGGCGCCCCAGGCGCAGCGCCCGCTTCCTCCGGCGCCTGCCGCCCTGCGCCCGCCTCCGGCCCTGCGCTCGCCGCGCCTCGGCTCAGTCCCGGCTTGGACCTGCTGTCCTGCGGGCCCAGCGCTCAGCCTCTCCGGCTGCCCGGGAAGTGGGAGCTGCACCGAAAGTCGGCGCCGGAGCGGCGGACTGGGCATGCTCAGAAGCCAGGGCTGGCTCTGGGCTCGAGTAGGAAGCGTCTGCACTCGGGAGGCGGCGGCGACTTTGGGGAAAGTTGCCCGGAGAGGGGAGCAAGCCCCAAGGCGCGCGGCAGCGGCGGGCAGGCGCCCCGGCGGCCCGGAGGAGCATGGGCACCCTGCGGGATTTACAGTACGCGCTCCAGGAGAAGATCGAGGAGCTGAGGCAGCGGGATGCCCTCATCGACGAGCTGGAGCTGGAGTTGGATCAGAAGGACGAACTGATCCAGAAGCTGCAGAACGAGCTGGACAAGTACCGCTCGGTGATCCGGCCGGCCACCCAGCAGGCGCAGAAGCAGAGCGCCGGCACCTTGCAGGGCGAGCCGCGCACCAAGCGGCAGGCGATCTCCGCCGAGCCCACCGCCTTCGACCTCCAGGATCTCAGCCATGTGACCCTGCCCTTCTACCCCAAGAGCCCACAGTAAGCAGGGGTGCGGCGCCGGGTCCGCGCGGCGCCCTGTCGGTGGGGAGCTGCGGGTCTCTGTCTTGTGTGTCGGCCCCCGCCCCTCGCGCTTGCCATGTCTGTCCTCATCAGAGATGTTGCTTTCTAACGGGCACTTCTCGCGCGCTGTGCACGTTTCTCAGAGCCACACTCGCTGCACCTACGTTTGCCTTCCGTGTCTTTGTCAGATGTCAAGCTATTTTTAAAAAATAGACATACACATTCGTATATGCCACCCACCGCACATAGTTTGAACGCGCCCCAGGTGTGTGTCCGGCCGTGTGTGTGTGTGTGTGTGTGTGTGAGTGAGTGAGTGAGTATGAGGAGAGGAATAAAAAGCCCCATCTCCCAAATGCCCTGGCAAACCTGCCCAGCCGGAAAATCCTAAATGCAGGCTCATCAGACTTGAAATGAAATGCGTCTGATACCACCCTTACTTTCTCTGCTTTTGTGGCTCTCCCGGATTTCTCGCCGGTACCCCTCAAACCTGAATGTGCTGTCATCATCAAAGTGTCAAAAATAAGCAAATACGCATAGAAAAGGGAAGGTTTTTTTTTGGTTTCCTGAATTGGATGGCATTTACAGCCCGCAAATGGAAGCCCAGTCTGTTGATTTTTAAAAAAAAAATATTTTTTTCGTACCATCCAAGGGAGAATGTTGCTTGTTTTCCTTAAGGAATTTGCATAATGTTACCAGTGAGGTGCCTCCGACTATCAAGAGGGTTGCATGTTTCCAGGGTCAAGCGTGAGAAGTACACTTACCTGTATTGGACAATGTGAACACATTGTTTGCCTTACTCCTGGCTTCTGATGCAACCACTCTGGTATCCTTCTTGCATTTAGAGAACTATGTTCTGATGTCAGTGGGCTTCATAACTTGGGTAGGAAAATTGAATCCAACTTGTTATACACTTCTCAACGCAGAGACCTTATGGAGAGTAGAGTGGCAGGAACAGGAGATTAATATAGAATGAGGGAGAGCACCCAAAGGAATGGCATTTTTAATTAATAGGTAACGACATAATTGATAAAATGAAAGATTTTGCTACTCTATTCCCAACTACATCACACTGGCTGGATGACACGTGTTACATAATAATGCAAGCCCCCTTGGAACCCTGCACTTCGCAAACACAAGAAATTAGTGTAAGGAGAAAGGGCAAATACATGATTGTCTCCATTTGTATTTGTCGAGCACGTACTGATTATACTTTTAAAAACTTAAGAGTTATACCTACATCTGTTGGTTCCCGTAGAGCTTCTGCTGAACCTCATGCAGGCTTAAGACGGAGTTTGTATTCTCCCAGAGTGTAGGGAAGAAACTGTGAGGATACACATTTCAGAGATTCTGACCTCAGCAAGTTGCCCCGATCAGTAGACTTAGATTTGCCTTAGGAACCTGAATGATTCGCATTTACTTCAACTTTCTCCGGAAAATTAATTTGCGGTCCCAACATGCTTGCCTGTTTTAGCTAACGAGGTACATGGCCATCTCTCCTGGGCCAAGTTTTGCATAATGAAGAAATAACTCAAAGACAGCTCTCTGCATTTTTAAGCATTGCATAGGATCTCATTTTAGTATGTATCTGCAGGACTTTGGAGTAACACAGAGAAAACTCTGCTTTTATAAAAAGACCATTTTAATAGGTTTTATAATGAAGCACGATCAAGCCAGCTGATAACTCCAGTTAAACATTGGATTAGAGACGATCTGAAGGAATCTAGGCAGTACCAGTTTGAGCTGTAGGAATGGGGTAAGTTGTAGAAATCTCTTAGTGCTCAACATGTAGAACAAGTAGATTTTTTTTTTTTTTTTTACAAGTCCATGGTGGAAAATGAAATTAGCTTGGCAAATAATTCACACCATTCTGTTACAATAAACATTTTGTCTATGGAACAATGCTGTGCGTTCTGATATTTATTTAATAATGTGCTTTAAAGAAATCAGCTGTTTAAGGTATCACCATGATGGTTTTGGTGATTCTGAAAGATTATATTGAAGAAAAGGATAGAATGTCTTCCAAGCTTAAATAATTTTGGAAAAACATCTGTTCTTTTTTCACACTTACATAAAGAAAACTAGAATAAAATTGGCTTAAGTGGTAGAGTGTACCTTTCTTGAAAGAGAAGTTACATTGTATGCAAAATGATTATACCTTATGTCATTTGAATGATTGTGCAAGGTAGCTCCACAAAGAATTAGGAAAACTTGCCAAACCAAAGAAGACTTGCTCGAATTTCAATTTATTTCACTTTGAGTAATCTGATTATACAGGCTGACTGGCAACAAGTGTTTATGTCTTTATATTTTGCTTTTAGTGCAACTTATATATAGTCCTCTTTCTTAAACTCACACACAGATCATTGTGAGTTCAAGTTAAAAGGAAACCACCTGAATAGCCTCAAATGGATTTCAAATTCACTTTCCTGTGAATTTTCTGTTCCCTTTTCACTAGATGTAGGCAACTGCCCAGCTAAGGTTCTGTTCATTTATCTGATATATGCAAATATGGTTACTTTTTGCTTATTGAGATTGCCCTCTGAGGATTATAATTTTGAAAAACTTTTTTAAATGATTTTTGATCATTTAAAAATAGTGTAAAATGTAAATTATTAACTTAAATCCTTTTTAACATTTTTGATTTGGAATTTTCCCTGTAAGCTGGGAATGGGAGGCAATGCTTTGTCAGAGCCAGGGAGCTCCTGCTGAACGTGCGTGCGTGTGTGCGTGTGTGCGTGTGTGTGTGTGTTTTGGGGGACTGGCGGGTGTTTTTGTTTGTTTCTTTCACACCTGTATAGAAATAGTCCTTAAGTCCTTCCTCTGTTAGGAATGTGAAGCAAAGAACTGATGTAGAAGTTGGTACTATATTCCATTACTACCACATAACTACTTGAGAATGTAAAACTATTAGGCCATATGTTTTGAAATAAATTGAACAAATCACCCCTTAAACATGAAAAAAAATATAAAATCCATTTTATGAGATCGGATAGTCTGTTGGTTATGTATACAGGATGGTTCTTATGGACTTTTAAAGTAATTTTATTTCATCATACTTCATTCCTGAAAACTCTGTAACAGGTCAGAACATTTAGTCTCTGGTATTTTGATCTAAACCCTTTACCTGTTGTAAATATTCTCAAATCCTTTCCATTTTTCCATTTTGCTGTCCCAGGGTTACATGTCATTTCAGTTGGGCTGTATAGACTTAAGTTCCTATAAAAAGTTGTCAGTGTCTCTGAATTTTTGTTCAGCTGGTGCTTTTCACCCCAGAGGTAGCTGAATTTAAGAGAACGATGATATGTTTTGTAACGTTTCACTCTTTGGTTGTGAAATATTTTGGCAGAACTGAGGGCAAAAAGAAATGGATTTTCTTATTTTTAGGGAGGCATTAATTTTAACAAGCTCTTACATGATCTTTTAAACCTGGGCACAAGTACATCTCTAGAGAAGCAGTATCTTCCTAAAGCCTGTATGTTAAATTTTGTAGGAAAGTTGAGAGAATTCTAGAATTTTGGTATAATCATAGATGGTTAGAATATTAAAATATAAATTTATTCAGAAGGAGCAATTACATTCCAGATGGGCCCTACAGTTCAGTTGAATACTTTTATGGGATGTCTGCCATGCGCAGCTATCCTGAGGGGTTAGAGGTGAGAGAGACGGAGGCCCTGCATGGAGGAGTTAATGCTACACAAGTATTCTAGAAAGTAGAGAGTAAGTTCAATCGCAGAGGAGATGCCTTAGAAAGTTGGGAGAATAGAATCGCACCCCTCTAATTTCATGGTATCGGGATGTCAGGTGGACATCCAGGCATTTGAGGGGCTGCCTGACCTAGGCAGGCGCTCAGGGGATGGGAGGGGCGCGGTGGGAATGGACAGGGCCATCTGGTGGACAGAACACATGGGACCATGACAGCAACTAGTGGTGGCACTAGAAGTTGAGGAAAAGCAAGCTTAGGTCGCAGAGAATGCAAACCTTTAAGTAGGCAAGAGGGCATCTAGGCTCGTGTTTGGAACACTCTGGGCTCGCGTGTGCGCACGCGTGCGCTGTCCAGCCGGCCAGCACTGAGCACCCAGTGTTCCCCATCAGCAAAGCTCCGAATCTCAGAAAGTCCCTTCAGCCCTGCACCTCCTACCAGCACAACCCTGATCAGAGCTGTAACCGGCCCCACTGGGTGAGAGCGTTTCAAGGAACCAAGCAGCAGACGGTTAAAACTCGCCAAGACATGGAGTCCCGCTCGGAAAGAAAACAACTTTCTTTTCCCCCTCGCTTCCGACTAGTCTCATCGAGAATCATCTTTCATGCCCCAGACCAGCACGGCAGATTGCTTACATAGTGAGGCCACTGGGCCGGAGATGAGAATGGAGGCTGAAGTCAGTTTCGGAAAGTCATCTCCCTTGTTTTGGTGGAGGAGTTGAATTCCAACTTAACGCTGTCCTAATAGACTTTCCCATTGAAGTTGCATTGATCATTTGACACGATGGCCTGCGCATTAAAACTGAGGTCGTGGAAGCTTTCAGAAAGATGTCTGAGACCAGGTTGCTTAAAACCCGGTTCGGGGGTTTGGAAACACGGTGAAGTTGTGTGCCCCTGCACTGGGGCTTGTAATGAAAACCCTGACAAGCCCTTAAACAGAGTGGCTCCGGAGGATGCCCGAGAATATCCATGGCCAGCTTCCTTGCTCTCCTGGGCCACATTTCCAGGCACCTGCTGCTTAGTATTTCACTAAAGAGTTGGGCACGCCATGTTTCTGTTGTTGCTGTTTGCAGATTATAAGGCGTATGGACGGACGCATTTTTTTTCCCCCTGCCTGCCTAGCGGCGGAGGGTCTCCACGGTATCCTAGCAACCGGATTTGAACACCAGTCTGCTGTTCTTTCTGCCAGGTCTGCCAGAGGTGCTGTTGCCCATCCAGGGCGCTGGGGCCTCTGCTGGCCCTCAGACCCTCCGCCTCGAGCCCTCCCTGCTCCGGAGCGC